ATTCAGCCTAACTTTCGATCATTAGAATAAATGTTCAAGCCTTCTAGAAGAATGGCAATTGCGGCTTTTTCTTTCAAATACCCAATTAGTTCATGCTATCACATGATTGTCTTTTAAACAGTAGCCTGGGAATTTCACATTCCTTTCCGTAACTCTCCCATCCATAGTTAGTTTGTGCACTTTTGTAGGAAAGTTAGGTCTGAAACAAGTACTTATTCACTCTAGATTTAGGAATCATCAATGCATGCTAGGTATGCCTATGCTCATAATTGGCTGCTTTAGTGAACCATCGTATAGAATTATATGAAATAACAAAACTTAGCTTATTTTAGATGCTATTATGTCTCGAGCAAATCGGCAATTCTCGAATCTATCTATAGTCGGATTAGCTCACCTAAGGTTAATTTTGGGACTGATAGTTGAATTTTTCCAACAGTGCTGTGAATGGGCCTCATGATGCCAGCAGCTTTCACTTAGCCCCACCCCAAAAAAGGTTCTTTCATCCAGGTTGGATTGCAGTTTTGCCTCCCCTACGTGTGATCAGCATTTCCTACTCAATTAATGATGGCATTACCTTTCCATCCCACAGCAATGCATATAAGTATGTCACCGGGCCGATGATGTATTCAGGTCAAGTCGATCTCCAATCTCAATGAGGGTGTTGATGAGACCTAAGCGAGGTCGAAATTCAAATTCAGCCTGGATGGGAGGACCAATTTGGGACAAAGACGAACTGAAATACAATGGCATCCTTAGGTCTACTAATTGCAATATGTGAACAACTCAACACCAATGGAGCTAGGCCGACTAAGAGCTTATTCGAGAATTTTTAACATTCTCGAAACCGACTCATATCTAAAATTGGTTGGGTCTTGTTATTTCGTAGAGCGATAATATCAAACGGCCCACGAGGAACATCGATATATTTGGCATTCATTGGTAATTCTCATGTCTAGATTTGCTGAGTCCTTATTCAAGATTTAATTTTTTTACCAAAGTACAAATGTATGGATGGGAGCGGTACGGACGAAAATGCAAGATTCCTAGTCAGTTATATGAAAAGCCATTATATACTAGCATATACAGGTTGGCTTTATGAAGGGAGTGTCATATTTGCACTTGGCAACATAAGTTACTCAGATAATCTATAATAATAATAATGTTTTACATGAACTTATCATGCATGAATCAACCTGAGAGTGTACCTGTATGTATGATTATTTCTATTTATCTACAGTTCTCGGACTCACTTACGAGTTTCGTGTTGCCGTAGTGACAAGTCAACAGATTGGTGCTGAGGCCATTGCTCGAATCAGCCTCCCCAGTGCTGGTAAGCTATTGTTATAGGAGAGTTATTTTGATAAAATGCTTATTTTTTCTGTAGGTCATTAATCAGATATCAAGTCAAACCTAGTCACTTACCTTCCGGATCTATTTCTGATCTCCAAGACTTTTGACATATTGTCATGCTAGAAGTGCTGACCACATCTGGTTATGGAATTAATTTCGCAGTGGAACAATAGATAGCCTATAATTCAGGATTTAATTAGCTGAAGTGAGTTGAACTCGTCGCAACTTGGCGTTGTTGTCAGGGCAGTTGAGTAGAACGCACCTTTACCAAAGACCTCTGCCATAGTAGTTATCATAAGTCTTAGCGTTTTACTCCAGACGCTATTTCTTAAGATGAATTCACCCTATTTCGTTTAAGGAGCACGTGTGATGAGGCCACACTAAATCTGCCAAAAAAGGCACACCTTTTGACGAATGGAATGTAAATAAGTCAGAAGTTATGATAGGTCGGGAGTTGGATAATAGAGCAAAGAGTAGATAGATAGGCCAGGACAGAAAGAGGAGTGATAGTGAAACCGTTTTCTCCAGAACGTCGTTCAAGGGATTGACTCCACTTGTCTCTTTGGACTTCGGACAAGGTGCGTTTTATTAAATCGTCCTGACAACAAGACCAAGTCGGGACAACGAGGAGACTGCGAACATACCGGGGGCCACACCATCTTGGTCTTCATATCTTCTATTTAATTAGCGGAGCTAGCATAAGTGTAATTTAG